GGACAAGTGGCAACAGTTTTAAGCTGAAAAAGAGATTATTTAGATTAGATATTGGGAATAAATGTTTTTGTGTGAGGGTGGTGAGGCAGTGGCCCAGGTTGCCCAGAGAAGCTGTGGATGCCCCGTCCCTGGAGGGGTTCAAGGCCAGGCTGGGTGAGGCTTTGGGTAACCTGGGCTAGTGGGAGGTGTCCCTGTCCATGGCAGGGGGTGGAACTTGATGATCTTTAAGGTCCTTTCCAACCGAAACCATGCTGTGATTCTATGATTCTTTCTAAGTTTAAGCCGTGTGGGAAGAACACTGTGAACAACATGCAGGGGTTGAAAAGATAATTTATTGGGGCTCAGGGCAAGGGACCCCGCCAGTGCACTAGTGATTTCAGTGAGACATTCTCAAGTTGCCTGCCCATCTCCCCAACACTGCAGACCAGGTGCCCATGCACAGATGGGACAAGAGGTGTGGAGGCATGAAAACAGCGTGTGCAGAAATAGAAAAGATGGAGGTTAAAAAGACCATGCTCCCATTCGAGGTGTTTCCCAGGGAAGAAGTGTTTCCCCCGGTAGGTTCCCATGTGGTCTGACTGGTCTCCGTCTGATTAACCAGGAAAGGTACAGGATAAAACTCCAAGCTTGCAGGATCTAGGGGTTGAGCTTCTGAAGTGTCTTATGAGATGCTGCTTTCATGAGCTGCTCTCGTTAAAGTAAAGGTTTGTTTTATGAACACCATACTCTGCCTTCCCTTTCTTCCCCCTCCTTCCTTCCCTGCCAGCAGTGATGGATGGATTCACTGGGAGGGAAACCAAACTGCATGTGGCCACAACCATCCAAGGAGTCACTGGCCACAGACAGGGTACTCTGCAGAACATCATCATGTGTGACCATGGCCTGCAAGGATGGGGTTGTCACCGGGGAGGGGAGACCAAAGCTGCATGTGTTGGCATGATGGAGGCTGGAAAAGCCCTGCCTGAGCCTTGCAATGTCCCGGAGGGCTGGATGGGAGATGGGCACATGGAAAGGGGCATTATCCAGAGTTGGGACCTCCTAGGTACTGCATGGCTGCCCTGCAGCACAAGCTCGGTGATGTCTACCAAGGGAAGAGTCAGACTGTGCTTCAGCATGGGAGTTTATTACTTAAAGAGTTCTGAAAAATAAGGGGGAGAAATATCACTGTGCACCACAAGAAGCAGGGAAGCTGTAACTCCAGGGCACTCTGTAGAAGGCAGAGAGAAATCACAAGGCTGTGTTAGCTCACTACATCAGTGTGAAACAGAGTGACAGGAGATGTTTCTAGGGAGGAGAGAGCAGGATGACAGTCCTGGTACAATACCAGTCATTCCCACATCATGGGAGTGGGTGGCTCCTCCATCCCAGGGTGCCATGTGGACTGTTCATGGATTTGTCTCCATCAAAGTGACCATCCGCCTGTATGCACGCTGAGGGGCGTCCAGGCCCCAGATCTGATCCCGGTGGGTCCAGTCAGGGAAGTGCTCGTGATGAATGAGGTTGGTGATGCGGGGGAGCAAGCGTTGCATCTCTGAAGTAGGGGTAACCCAGTCCTCCCCACCGCTCCACAGAGCTGTTGGAACTGTCATGTCTTCTCTCCTGTAAAAGGGTGGTGAAGTCTGGGGAGAAAAATCATCAGGTTATTCAGAGGAAGGCGAAATAGAAGGGTATGAACTGGATTTTAGCCATCAGACCTGCTAAGAAGCCCACGGTATTCACCTTCTGGGGCATACATTTAGGAGACGTGAACAAATGTGACATGGGACAAATGTGTCCTGCAAGATTCCCGTTCGACTTGTCCCACCAGGAGTGGACAAAAACCCAAAAGGTCGGTTGCCAACAGCTGGCCAAAATGGGACCGAATGGTTGAGTGTTCATGGAGGCCCCAGCCACTGAGGGAATTACAAGACACATGGGCGCATGATGCACAAGTTGCTTTCATCCTGGTCTCATCCAGCCTCATCCTGTTCTCCTCTTAGCACAACCAGTCATCCCTCCATCCTCACAAGGAGGGACCTACCTACCTGGTTGTACCTGTCCTGGTTCTTCTCCTCATAGTCAAACTGCTTGAACTCTCCAGTTTTTGCAGTCTGGAAGGCAGAGGCAAAGGGTTAACCCCTTGTGGGTAATGCACTGAATCAGCCCCACCATGGGAAAAGGGCCAGCACAACTCTGATGTCTGGGCTGGTGTTTGCAGCTGCCCATCCCTCGGGACCCACAGTGGGGCAGCAAAGCAGCGGGGCAGCAAAGCAGTTGGGCAGCTGGCTCAGCTGGGTGTTCAGGCAAAGCAGATGGAGGGTGCTCAGGGTGCGGTCATTTGGGCTGTCTTTGAGCGTATTGTGTGTCTGACAAGACAGGAAGGAGAAGGACTTCTCCAATGTCCTGCAGTACTCTGCAGACAATTTCAACTGGTTAGGATGGGCTGGCAGAGCGTGAGTCACCTGGTTGGGTGGGAAGTTTCTCTTGGGCATTATTTGGAAAATTAACCCATTATGTCTTCTGAGAGCTGACAACACCCTGCAGCTCATCGGCTATCCCTGGGGCAGCATGACCATGCCTGGCAGTCAAGGAAGTGATGAACCATGATTGAACATTTTGTAACCATCAAGAAATGTAACCCTAGTCTTCTAGTCTCACCGTGACCATGCAGGAAGGGACAATCCAGTGAGGATTTATCCATGTGGACCTGCTATAACTTCTGTCACTCTAGGACCATCCTCCTGATTTCCCCCCTTATCAGCCACCTGTACTTCCAAATTAGAGTCTTTCTGGCTTGCTCTTTCTCCAATCATTTATGCTGAAATGTCGTCATCTTGGAGGAAGATGTATATGGATGTCGGACAAATTCAGCTGAAAATATTGGGTTTTTCCATCACTCTTGGTTGACTGTGTGATTGGCAATGGACTGTTGTGTGCTCTTGCAGCAGTGCTCTTGTCTTTTTCCATGACCACTTCCTTAGGTCATGACTGGGGATGATAGGTGGGTGTCTACAGAGCTGGAGGTTGGCTTGGCAGGGTGGGGGTTGTACCAGGGAACCAGCATGGCTTGTACATCCCCCAAGACTGGGGGTTTGGTGCTCAGGGAATCCCTTTCAAGGGTGGGTAGTTTACAATAGGCACAGGTATCAACTGGTTGAGCAGGCCCATGTGCGGGGTGGAAGATGAGGCTCATGATAGGGACCCATTTAGCCTCCAAGGAAACACAGGGAGAGGGGATGCTTCACTGATCCTGCCACCGTGTCTGTCCACACAGTGAATGGAGCAATGTGTCAGACCATCAACCCAGCCAACCCAGGAGTGTCCATGGGGTTATCCAGTGCGACGAACAGGAGAATCCCTACCTGGCCCCAGTGGAGGAGGTTTTTGGTGGATGTGTAGTCCGGGAAATGCGATATGTACACGTCTGTTCGGCTCTGCTGGCAAAAGAAAGTCCTACTGCAAACAATACTCAAGCAGGACTTAACACTCATTTGAGGCTAAAGCCAACAGCACTCGACTGTGCTTTTTGTTTTCTTTGCCTAGGCTGCCCCGAGGCAGGAGGCAACGAACCTCACCCTGGGAAGACCACTGAGGAACAGCTTCAACATGATCTCTGTGCCTTGAGGGCCCACCTGGCCTCCTGACGTCTCAGTCACAGACACTGATACCTTAGGGCACCTCTGTGTAATTAGCAGCAGAAATCTCACTTTCGTCCAAGCTGACGTCAACAGCAATACAAGGACCTTGCCACATCAGAGCTTTGGTGTTGGTATCTAGCCTGGCCTTCCACTAATGTCCACTCCAAGACAATGTGAGTGAACAACCCAACATGCTCTCATGCCTATACAGACCCACGCTGTATGTCCAGACACGTTGTAGAAAGATAAAACACCACCCTGGAGTCAACAGCATCTCAAAATGACTCTCATTTTTGATGTTACAATCTGAGATCAAGATAGCTCTTCATAATTAGTTTGTAAAAGCTTGCAGACTGGATTTCTTCCTCATCATTTGTTTGAGCTACCAACAGAAATAACAGGGACCCAAAAACCCACCATTTTAAATCTCTTTAGTCATCATTTTCACCCTTGGTGCCCCTGTCCCATGACAGTATCACTGCTCAGTAACCCAGCTCCTAATGAGATGTGGCACCTACGATGACATTATGACATTTCTTATTTGGTCAGCAAAAAATCACAGGGAAAGGTGCCTACCACATTCAAGTTCTTCTTATTACATCCACCGATGAGGAAAAGCCCATCTGTGCAGAGCCTGCCCAGCAGCCGGCAGCTGCACCCCCTAGCCAGTGCCGCTCTCTGTCCCCGTCCCAGCAGAGCTGCTTCTCTTCTCCCAAAAATCACCTGCCATGGGGCACAGACATGGTGGGTCGGTCCCTGCTGAGCACTGACACCAATGGGGCAGCCAGCCTGGCACCTCAGGAGGATTGGTGGGTTTTCCTGTCCCCTGGAGTGGGGAGGGCTGGCCATATTAATCCCCTCATGGGATGTCTCCCCCTCTCCCCACAGGTCCTGGCGGCACCCACACTGCGGTGGGGTGGGAGCTCAGGGGGACGTTTGCCACAATGGCACAAGCAACTCCACTTCCTGATTTTGGGTATTGGTTATTAACCGTGTAACTAATTAGGATGTGAAAATGAGAACTTACCGTAAGTACTGAATCAGGAAGGTAGAAAAGACTTAATACCGGACCTTTAACAGCACGAAAAGTGTAGGCAGGGCCCAGTACAAAGAACATTTTGATTTTCTCAGCCAGCTGCAGAATGCTCGAAAATGCTATGAAACCTGCAAAAAGCCCACAAGAGACAGCAGAGGTCCTGCAAGCAACTGCCATGTGGACCCAAACGCATGAATTCCCCTCTCACATCCCAGGTTCCTGGTTTGAGACGCAGGATCTTGAACAAAACGAAGCTGCAGTTCTTCCGGAAGTCAGCACAGCCCAGGATGGCTGGGCAAGACGTGGGAATCTCTCCCAAGGACCAAGAAGGCAGGTTGGGAAAGTGGCCACGTGGGCCAACGCAGCCCTGTCCCCAGCAGTCTCCAGTTTGGGACAGACATTGATGCCCCTGTGGTATCCTAGCTCCCTGCTCCCACCCACCGCCCACTCTACTTCCTCCTCCCCACTCACCCAGAGTGTTGCCCTGAGCATGGCCAGCATAGAACAGTTTCTGCTGCCTGGTTTGCCTTAGGATGAAGCCCACCATGGCAGGGAGGTCGTATATGGTCATCTCGTGGAAGCTGGGGAGCAAGGGGAGAAGTTGGAGCAGATGTCCATCTCCCAGCCTCCCATGGACATCAGGTGGTCAGCGCTGACAGACCAGCATCCTAGCCCATCCTTGTTGGCCTCCTCACCTGAAATCCCAAAACTCCTCCTGGTCGACAGAAAGGTTCAAGTGCCGGCGGGACCAGCTGTTGCCCCGGCTGTTTCCGATCCAGACGTCGTACCCTGCATCAGCGAGGATGAAGCCCAGGCTGCCATTGGGGAAACTGGAAACCCAATTGCTGCCATCTAATGACAAGCCATGCTGGAGCAACACAGGTAACCTGTGTCCTGGTGATGAGAGGAAAAACACAAGGCTGTTTGTTTGATGGGAGCACCTGGGAATGGGAAAGGAGCTGCCTTCACCTCCAACCCATTGGAGTGCAATATTTTCTTATCATGAATGGAAAGTCTTTTGCAGGGCAGAAAGTAGCTTCCCCTGCAGTTTCTTCTTTCTGCTGGTGCTTTTTTTCCTCCAGTTTTAAGTATTTTTGCCACTCCTGGCCCTGAGCTGTCAGGAAACTTTGACCCAGGGAAGGGGCTTTGCTCTGGGGAAGGACCCACCATGGGCCTCCTTCTCCAGGTGCTGGGGCTCACTGGGTTGTGCTGCCCCACCCGCGGTGCAGCAAAACACAGTGAGGAGCTTCTGCATCCCCAGGGCCAGCTCAGGGCTGCTCCTTCCCCACCAGGGCCCAGGGAAAAGTACATTTGCCACCCAGGAGGACCCACATCTCTTCCCGTCCTCCCTCCTCACAGTGCAGACTCCAGTCACGTCCCTCTTTCTGAAATTAAAATACTCATTTTGCCCAGAAGATCCCCATTTTGCCTAGATCCTCATTTTGTCTAGAAGATCCTAATTTTGCCTAGATCATCATTTTGCCTACAAGATCCTCGTTCTGCCTAGATGCTCGTTTTGCCTTCTTTGCTCAGGAGAAGGGGACCTGCCAAGCCTCGCTGCAGGGGAGATGAGTGCCCACCTCTGGTTCCATCCTCCTCTCTGCCACCAGGAATCCAGTTCATGGTAAGGAAATAGCCATCATCGGCCAGGACTTGGTGCTCCTCTCTGTGATATCTGTGGAAACGGATTATCTGGCTCTGCAAGGAGAGAAGCCAGTGGGGAAATGAGGGTGGGTTTGACTTGACTCCTGGCAGAACTTGTCCCAAGCATGATGTACATCAGAGGTTACATTATCCCTGGAGACAGCAGAGCTCAGCTGGCTCCGTTATGTTCCTTGGTTGTGCCAAATGAGGCAATCCTCAAAAATTCAATATATTAATAGAGCTTAGCTGGGTAGGAAGTTCCACAGTGTGGTACATGGTTGTTTGTTCATCACTACTAAAACACGACGCAGCAAGGGAAAGCCAGGGTGAGATAGCCACAACCTCCTGGTGCTGCTGGGGTCTAGAGGGACAGTGAGGAGAAAGCAATGAGTGGAGATACTGCATGCCAGGAAGATGGTCAGACTCCTTCCCTGCCCCCTCTTTTTAGGGGTCTGACAGACCAGTCCTTTCCACCTGTGAAGTGGCAAGACATGGGACATGCAATCTGAACCCAAACAGGTTCTCCTTGTGGAAGAGCCACTCTGAAAGTCACTGAGGGTGCCTGAAGCCCCAGGGACACCCCAGAGGCCACACTGTCCCCTTGCAGGTGGGGGCAAAGCGGTGGCACAAGTGACAAAGGGTAGTGAACAGTTGGCTAACAGCCCAGCACAGCCCAGAGGGATGTGCCCAGAGCCTCCCAGCTCCCCATGGGTGCAGACACCAGGTTAAGGGAGGACTGGTCCCTCAGGGAGGACTTTGGACCCACCCCATGGGGAAGCCTGGACCCCCTCCAGCACTTACAATGTTCATGAACTGCTCAGGGTTCTCTCCAGCACATCGGATGGCATTGCCCAGCCCCTGGGCCAGGCACAGGACCACCAGCAGCAACCACATCGTGCCTCTCCACAGCACCTGGGGCGTAGCGGGGTTGGCATGAGTAGGATGGTGGGTGCACCGGAAGCACGAGCAAACACCGTGCAGCTCCAGCACCACCGGAGCGCTGCCAAAGCCTGATGCTGCAATGTGAAGCGGGTGTTTCCAGCCCAAACTGTGCCAGCTGTGGCCCCATATGGGACCCTCTGCCAGGCACGGGGTGCTCATTAGTGTCATGCAGCTCCAGCCAAAGCCACCTGAGTGCGAGCAGCGGACGCACATGAGTGTCCAGGGCTGGGGGTCCACAGAGGATGCAGGGAATGAGCAAGGGCAAGAGGCAGGGGATGAAATGGAAAGAGGCCACATCTGGCCTGAGGGGTTCTGAGCCAGGCACAGCTGGCAAAGGTCAAAGCAATAGGATATGGTACTCACCAGAGCCTCCTCGCTGCGGCAGGTAAAGTTCAAAAGCTGGTAATTTCCTGCTTATAAAATGTGCAAGAGGAGGCTGGAGGGGTTGAGCCCTTCATCACCTTATAAATCCACCTGGCTACCCCTCTCCAATCACCTTGTTTCTTGCCAAGCTTTTCTTGCTGATCCTGTTTGGTTTATTCATGTTTAAACAGAAAAAAAAAAATCAAGACAAGAACAGTAAGTTACAGCAACTCTGTTTACCCTGGAGGGGTTAACTCGTTAATTGCTCTCCGCAACCAACAATATCAGCTTTTTTTTTTTTTTTTTTGGTCTATTTTTGTGCAGCATTAAACAGGGCAGGAATTCATAGCACTGTGACTTAGTTTCAGACTCTGGGGATGGTTGACAAGGTTTGGTTGCCTGAAAGCAGCCTGTACACAAAAATAGATCCAAGAGCACGTGCCAATTTGCCACAAATTCAGAAATAAAAAATGGAGAAAGAAATTGCAGAAACAGAAGAACCAGCTAAATGACATTTAATAACCAAGTGGAAACAAGGGACTTTGAATAACGTCACTAGCCAGAAGCAGGGTTGAGACATGTTTCTAGAGCCCACCAAAAATGGTAGAAAAGCATCTTGTTTTCTTGATTCCACCTTACCAATGAGACTGTTCAGAGATGAATCCTGCAACTGCCAAAGTCATTAATCTGTCAGCTTGTAGCAGCAGAGTAGTCCAGCACCAGGTATGGATGAGTCTTCTGCATATGTCTTTCATCTTGCCGAGTGGTGCAAGCAAGAGTTTGAGAGCTCCACCTTCTATGCCAGGGGCGGGAATGGCAGAGTATTGCAATTAGAATAGATGAAGCTGACACCAAGAAGAAGATGACCTGTGTCAACAGGGAGTCCCTCTTGGTGTTGCCCAGTGACTAGAACTGAGGTATTTCTATCTCGTCAGCAACTTGATGTCCAAGTAGAGACAGGTGATGAGTAGCGTTCTTCAGGGGTTGGTGTTGAAACCATCGCTGTTTAACATCTTTGTTTTGGACAGTGGGATCGAGTGCACCCTCAGCAAGTTTGCCAATGACACCAAGCTGTGTGGTGTGGTGGACACGCTGGAGGGAAGGGATACCATCCAGAGGGACCTGGACAGGCTGGAGAGGTGGGCCAATGCAAACCTCGTTAAATTTAACAAGGCCAAGTGCAAGGTCCTGCACGTGGGTTGAGGTAATCCCAAGCACAAATACAGGCTGGGCGGAGAATGGATAGAGAGCAGCTCTGAGGAGAAGGACTTGGGGGTGTTGGTGGATGAGAAGCTGAACATGAGCCGGCAGTGTGTGCTTGCATGCATCAAAAGAAGCATTAGCAGCAGGTCGAAGGAGGTGATTCTCCCCCTCTACTCTGCTCTCGTGAGACCCCACCTGCAGTACTGTGTTCACATGTGGGGCCCCCACATAAAAAAGACCTGGACCTGTTGGAGAGAGTCCAGAGGAGAGCCACAAAATTAATCAGAGGGCTGGAGCACCTCCCGTGTGAGGACAGGCTGAGAGAGTTGGGGCTGTTCAGCCTGGAGAAGAGAACAGAAGGCTCCATGGAGACCTTAGAGCACCTTCCAGTGCTGGAAGGG